ACAATATTCAATGAAAGAACAATCTTTGTCCCTATCCTCCTTAGCTAAGAGATCCGCAGCATGGTTACCTTCCCGCAAGGTATGTGAGCGCCAGACGTCATTCTCATGAATCAGTTTGGCTAAGGTATCTATCGGAAAAGGAGAATGAGTGTAATACGTGTAATATCCAATTCTCTTCAAAATCTCCAAGGCATCAGTTTCATAAACAAGAAGATAATGAAAGTTGAGAGCCCATTTAATACCTTTGATGGAGGCGTCTAGTTCGGCTTGGTAGGGGGATGAACCAGAGACTGAAAAGGAAGACGCACGCACAAATCTGCCCTCATCATCTCGAAGAATCACTGCACCACGTTTGGACCCAGAGGTGAAGGATGCATCAATGTTAAGCTTGAGGCGCCCCTTAGGAGGAGCTAACCACTTAACAACTCGAATTTTATGGGCCTTAGGGAAGAAAGGCAGTAACTTCTTCTCATTGAGCCAAGCATCTGCACCCTTAAGCTTTTTGGGAATTTTAGCAGCCAACCATTGCCTCACAAACATAGATATGGAATCATTGAGAGTTCTTGAGGAGAAATCAGTTTTACCTTCATGAATGATAGCATTAAGTTCCTTCCAGATATGCCAACAAATGATACCCGGGAGATGCATACGAAGAAATCCATAGATGTTGTTGCAATTTCCTCTCAGCCACCAATCCATGAAATGTTGATTGATGGAGGAGGAGAATCTGTGCAAGAAACCAAGGCAGGCAGAAAAATGTTTCCAAACTTCCTCAATCTATGGACAGTCAAGAAACACATGTTTAGAGGCAAAGGAATCTGCCCTACATAAGGGGCAAATAGAAGGCAGGTGGAATCCTAATCTTTGCAAATTTTCAGGAATAGGGAGGCAATGTTTGAAGAGTTTCCAAGTGAACACCCCAACCTTAGGATTCTGTGGTTTCATCCAAAGATATTTGAAAGAGGCCACAATGGGAGAAGAAGGCCTGCAAAAATCAAAGGCAGATTTGAGGGAAAAAGAACCATTTGCCTCAAGAGACCAAACCATTGATCCATCCTCATTGACAGCACAAGCATTAGAAGCAATTTCATCAATCCTAGAAATCCTTTTCCAGACTGGGGAATCAGTCAAGGCCTCCCAAATATCCCCCTCCCTCCAGTACTTGGACCTCATTAGCCTAGCCCAAAGACCATTGTCTTGGTGGAATTTCCACCAAAGTTTAAGGCTGAATGAGTCCTCCAGGCTTTTGAGATCTCTAATGCCAAGACCCCCCTCTTCCTTAGGGAAACAGAGCTTCTCCCAGCTAATCCAGTGATGTCTGTTACCACCACCCCACCAGAATCTGGCCATTTTCTGGTCAAGCAAATGAGAGATGGCCTTGGGAATGGTATTGACTGCCAAGAAATAGTTAGGAAGAGTATTCAAAACATGCTTGATGAGCACCAAACGTCCAGCTTGATCCAAATTCTTCTGAAGCCAGCCATTTAATTTATTATCAAATGACTGGATGAGTTTGGAGCAGTGAATCTTCCTAGTAATCCCCAAATCAATAGGCACCCCAAGATAAGTAAAATCTAAGTTTAAATATTTAATATTTTTATTTAAAATGGACAATTTTAAGAATAATTCATATTTTTAAATAAATAAATTTAATATTTATTTTTATTAAAAGTTGGCTAACTACTAATCCGGTTTTCAGGTCGTTATAAGTTTTAAAGTTCTTGTAACATGAGAAAAACATAAGAAAAAACTTCATTAGTTATATTATATTATTATATAGAAAAAAATAATAAAATTTGACCGGTCCACTGGTCCGGACCAAAACCTTGTGCACCGGACTGAACCAGAACCCGAATAAGAGATTTGAGAAGACCAAAGACCACCTCCGGGTTCGATTTTGGCTGGGTTTTTAGGTCGGTCTGGATCCGGACTAAATAATACATACACCGAGGACAAGGAGGATCTGATAGGACTCCCACCCATTGAAGTCATACCTTTGAAATCAAGCTGGATATGATTCAATGGTATCCTATTTCCAATTCGGAGGTCTGAAGAATGAAGACTTGAGAGCGCATGTGTTGTGGTTCTCCCAAACTTGTCAAACCTTCTCCACAAACGGAGTTTTGACGAATCGTATTAAACTATATCTGTTCTCTTTCTCACTTTGAAATAAGGCTGCAAGGTAACTGAATACATCTTTAAATGGTCACTTCAAAACATGGGGGGCAAAGATAAAGAACTCAATCAAGAACTTCTGGCAATATCTGTCTCAATGATTGAGTGAAGCATGGGAACGGTTCAAGGAAATCAAGATCAAGTACCCTCCAGCATTGATATATTTCGATAGCGTAATGTTTCACTTCTACCAAAGGCTATTATTTCCATCAAAGAAAGAGCTTTACCACTCTTCAAAGGTTGGGTCCTTCATTGAAATGACCCTTAAGAAAAACAAGGAGCTAGTGGAGATTCTTAGTTCCAACTCTAAGTAATGGTACAATGATCGAGCTCCCCCATCAAAGGTTGACATGTATGAAGTGGATCATTTCACGACACTCAAAGCTAGTATGGAGAGTATTGTGAGGCAGACAATCAAAGAACACCTGGGAGCAACCAGTTCACATTACAACAAATACTCTAAAGTCTGAACAACTACATCAAGCAGAAAGTTATAATATAGGCAGTTATAATTCCCAACAGTCTAAAATTGTCGTATTGTGTGAGCTTAGTCTAGGAAATCGTCTTACTTCCTACCTAGTGCTCACCCATTACATGGCATGCCCACTTCTAGTAAATCAAAAGAGGTCAATCTCGCTCAGTATGCCAACATGTGTGAAGGTCTATGGGCCCCAAACAATCAAGAGCATTGGGGAAATGGTCAATCAAGAAACAGGAGCAATTTTTAGAGGAACAACCGTCCTAGGGGAACCCTCTTCTTATTCTTGAAGGGTTTCTTACCCCCCTGACGTATCTTCCTTCCCCTTGGGAGTCTTCTTGATTTTCTTCTTTTTCTTTCATTCCTCCATGTTCATGCATCTCCCCGCTCAGACCATTGCCTTTTCAAAAGATTCTGAGGGATGGTAATGAGATTACTATCGAGGAGTCCTTGTAACTTCCGTGAACATGGCCAGCCTGGATTTTTCATTAGAACCTTCTAACACCCAGGATTCCCTCCTCCACCAGGTAAGGAATTTCTTAAATATTTTTCTACTCTTCTACTAGACGGATGCAAGATGTGTGAAATGCTTCTTGGGCTTGTAGTTTCCTGCAAAGTGCTCTAAGAAAGATAACCCTAGATCATCCCAAATCCGGATAGATCCAGCCGACATATGGTTGACCTAGTCTGCCATCTTTATATCCACCGTCTAGAAGAAATAATGGCACATCAAAGCATCTATCACATCTACTGACACCATGATCTGCACATAGCTATTTTTGTGTTCTGGAGGGTAGACTCCTCTCTTGATTAAGGGAACTTTGAAACCTACGGGATATGGCTCCGCCATCACCTCAAGGGAAAATGTTGTGTTGGTGCGGGTAGTGGACACTCGTCTGTGATTCACCTTGCGATGCATATCCTAGATGTGCTGACGTAGATCCTGGATGCCCTAAGGTTCCTATGCTACCGGTCCTAGACGATGCTTAACTGAGACTCTAGGTTGGCTCTTCACTTCTTCCTCATCAACGAAAACAACGTTCCTGGGAGCCGTGTGTGTTCCCTAAGGAAGGGCCTCAGAACGTAATGCGTGGTGGGGTGACTCCACCCTGCTAGCTTGCGGCCGCTCCCTTTCGACAGAATCCTTTCCTGGGTCTGTCCTAGCCTTTCACTCATAGGAACTCGCCCTTGAGACATCCTTTCGAACACCGTGGCCCTTGAGACATCAATTTGACGAGAATATATCAATGAAATCTAATGTTTAAATTGATTCTAACCAAAGATATAGAAACCACGACTCACCTTGATCAATTTGGTAAATATTTGTACTCAAATTGTAATAGGAACTCCAGCAAGCTTCTGGCAAACTCCGACAGTCCTCCTCTAGTGTGGGTTGCACGGCAGAGACTATTGATGAAGATGGAGCGCAGAAGAATAGAAGGTACATAAATATATACTCCGTATAAAATTGGGTGGGCGCGTGGTTTTCCAAATTGCAATAGAATTAGGGTGTTTCCACATGTTTTTATTATTACTAGATTTTAACGAGTGCGATGCACGGTAAAAGTGTTATGTGATGATATATATAATGAAAAATATAAATAACATGTAATTACGGTAATATGATAGATCATTCCACTTAAATTATTTATAAACTATTCGCGTAATGAATACAAAAAATTTCACCAATCAAGTGTGCATGATATCAATAAACAAAAATAAAATAAAAAATGCTAGAAAACTTATTTATGCACAACATTCCAAGTGTGATTGACTGTTTTCATCATCACAAGTCAAGATCTTCAATTTGTGTATTTGTACACGTGAAATAGAAATGCATAGTTGATCATGACTGGCTAAATTACATTCCACACGTCAAAGTGGAGTTCATGACATTGGGATGAATAGCTCGCTTGTTATCTGCCTCCCCACATGTATCATTATTAACATTACAAAAGATGGTGATAGATTCAGACTAAAAATTCAATCATGATGTATAAGCAACTATATTCTTTGTACTTTTGATAAAATAATTTGAAGAAAAGAGTATCAATTAGGGGTGGGCACGAGTCGGGATAGTTCGGATTTTATATCGCCCCGTGTTTTGTCTTGTTTTTTCAAACGGTTCGGGCCACAAGCTTATCCTAATTTGTCCCTAAATATTCAAGATCAGGATAAAACAAAATAGGTTCGGGTTGTCCTACTTTGTCATATTCGAAATTAGATATAAAAATATAAAATATATAAGGGAGAGGCAACCCACTTTGACTTGCAAATTAATGAAAAAATGATATACTCCGTATTTATTTAGAATGTGTTAAAAAAGAAAAAACAATAAGGAAATATGAAAAATGTTGCAAAATACATCAATGTAAAGACTATAAACTTCATAAAACCTATGAACCACAAATTGGAGTGAGTCATGTTAGAACGGTATTTTTTTAGTTGTTCTGGTCCTAGTGTATTTTTTAAAATATTTGAATCCAGATATTTTTTTATATTTTTTTTGGAAAATAAAATTTGTGATACTTTTTTCTGTCATATCATTATATAAATGAATAAATAGATTTACACATACATATGGGCCAATAAAATGGAATGGAAAATATTTATGTGTCCCGGTCTTGTCCCATTTTAAAACGATTTGGAACAGGTTCGGGACAAAAAATTTTCATCCCAAAAAATGAGACATTATAATACGGGACCAAGATATTTCGGGTTAGGACAATGGTTTCGGAATTCTTGCCCACCCCTAATTATTAAGGAATATTTTGCAAACACATGAATTGTGTAATATTACAATTGTTCGTACTATTGTAGTATCATGAAACAACATTTGATAGAAATCTTACATACCTTAAATGGATTTGGTATTATTTGATTCAGAATTATCTTTGAAATTCTAGAGAAGAAAATTCTCTTATGTTTCACTATGACTATTAATGAGAGTTAATGACAAACATTGTTATTATATTTTATCTAATTGATATTCATTAATATTCAGCTTTATATAATTTCCCCAATGAATCTAAAAATAAGATCAAAAGTATCTATATTATATTTAAAGAGAGGGAAATTCTTGCTTTTATTTTCCCGCCCATACGCGTATGACACAAATGGTAAGTGTTAAATATTGAAATGGTAATTTGTCATGTGTTAGTGTTAAAGATGGATGGTAATTAAAACATATTACCCTGTAGAATAAAAATGGTAATTTGCCATATGTTCTATATATATATATATATATATATATATATAAGATAGTTTAATTTAATCAATGGAAATAATGCCAAAAATTATAGTTTTTATTAATTAGGTATTTTCATTATACCTTATTTTTGTTCCAAGAATACCAAAAATAATAATAAACGTAATAATAATAATAAACGTGAGAATAAACGTAATAATAATAACAAACATAGACCATAATTATACCTTATTTTGGTGGGAAGAATATAAAGAATATATGTTAGTGTGAGAATATATATGGTAAGTGTAGAATTTAGAAATGGTAACTTATCTACTCTTTGGTCAATTAACTTGCACATGTTTATATGGTAATAACAACAACAATATAATAATAATAATAACAATAATAAATGTGTATGGTGCCATTAATTATGGTGTGCCCCAAAATAGACACCATTAATAAAAAGTTTTCATTTGTTAAAGGACCAGGTTTGTTCTGATAAAATCATAAATTATAAAAAAAGAGATGTCATTAATTATAGTGTGTCCCAAAATTATATTTATTATTATGAAAGGGCTGACAAGGCTTATTGATACATTTTCTAAAAAAGTCAAAGTATTTTTAAATAAAAAGTTTCCACTTCTTTAATTAAAAATTTTAGTTTTTATTAATAAGCTAATTTCATTATACCTTATTTTTGTTGCAAGAATAGCAAAAAAATACATGTGTATATGGTAATAATAATAATAAACGTATAATTATAAGAAGAATAAAAATATTAATATACATGATAGTAAGTCTAATAATAATGACAAACGTAAAAGATAATTATACCTGATTTTGGTTGGAAGAATATAAAAAATATATATAAGTGTGAGAATATATATGGTAAATGTTGAATTTAGATATGGTAATTTATCTACTTTTTGGTCAATAATAATAATAATAAAATAATGATAATAATAATAGTAATAAATTATAAATTATAAAAAAATTCATCCCATTAAATAGAAAAAGGAACAAAAATTTTCATAATATAAATACGGTCATTTTCAATCACTTTCGTAATCAGCCTCTCTAATTTCTTTTATATTTTTAAATATTGTTTCTTTATTTTTATGGGGTATATAAAGTTCTCCATTTTATTATCGGTTTGACAAGAAAAATGGTAAAAAACCATTAAACGTGAACAAAATTTATGGTCAAATTTTGATTTGACTTATTTATATTTTTAAAACTATACACATATATTTTATATTTAATTACAAAAAGGATATTATTAAATAATTGGTGATGTGATTGACATTGAGAATACCAACAAATAATGTTATCTTGGTTGCCCAAGTGCAATAGGAAAGTTGTTCACATGGTTCGAGGTTTAGATGCAAAATCTATGACCGAGATTAACCTAAGAGATGTATAAGTTAAATATTGTAATTGGATAATTTTAAATTATTTTGTATTTTAAAATAATAAAATCTATATATCAAATGAGATATGAATTTGTATTTTTCAAAAATGATCTTAATTTAGTAATGTAAATAAGACCCGTTTAAAAACGTGTGTTATACTAGTTAGTTTTAAATAACATTGATAATTCATCCAATTTCACAAATACTATCGTACCTCTAGTTTAAATAAGATTTTTGACATGTAAATTCCAAATGTATCTTGTACTCCGTATTTCAAAATAATGTGCTATAGTGAAGAAATTACATAGAGTTTCTTTCCAGTCATGAGTTTCCATCGAACGATAATCCCTTCGTCCATCGATTTGTCTTCTTCCTTCCGCCGCAGCTAGCGTCGCCGGTATCTCTACTGCTCTCCACTCGCCGGCCTTCCGCTTTCTCTATCTCTCTGTCTCCAGTCCTTACCGAGGTAGGCTTAGTAAATTGTTCTTTATGTAATCGTGTTGCCTTATTGTCTCTTAGGCTGACAAGTAATCAATTAAGGTTTTGTGAGGGTCCATTGGTGCTTACCCTTGTTGTTGTAATAACCTTCCATAGTTGATTACCCCAATCATTGACCTTCATGGCATGAAACTGAATTCGTTCTGTCTATAGGGATTTTTTTTAAATTTTAGGAATATTTGAATACATCTAATGGCCACTGGCCAGAATGGCAAGTTAAACTCCCTTGCATCTTATTGTATACAAAATTTTGGGATGTAAATGCATCAATGCATCAACGGTCTAACATTAACAGCCTCTCTTAAGGTTGCATACAAAATAGTTGGGGTTATATTGGGTTTGTTGTTGTTATCTTTTGACCATATAATTGTTGGTTTTATTATTTTTATGTAGATTGTTTCTTTTATATCTATTTATATTTTTGTATTCTAAAGTTTAAACATGTGTCTGATTTGATGTGTATGTGTTTTCTTATTACTTTTTAGCAACATACGTTTGATCAAGACCATTGACTGTACATGGCGAAAAGCATGACATCTTCAGCTCGAGCTGTGCTTGAGGACTTTTCAACATCTGCAGGCAAACTTGACAAATCTGAAGGTCTTGAATTTGTTTGGGGTAAGAAGAGAGGAGTTGGTGGAAAGAAAAGGGAGGTTCAGTTTTATGATTCTTTTAAATATGATGGCGTTCAGTATGCACTTCATGATTGTGTGTATATGCACAAAGAAGGTGAACCTGAGCCATACATTGGAAAACTTATCAAAATCTGGGAAACTGCAGATAAGTCCAAGAAAATTAAGGTTCAATGGTTTTTCCGACCTTCAGAAATTTTGTATCATATCAAGGATCAACATTTCATGGGGAATGAAATATTTCTTGCCTCTGGTGAAGGGATTGGCCTCTCAAATGTCAACCCACTGGTAATGGAGTGTTTTGACTGTTTTTATGCTCTTTACTCTATTTATTTGTACTTGACATCCTCTTATTCTGAAGTCCCTTTCCTCTTTTTTCACCCTTCCAGTATTAGCTAAAGATATAGCAATAATAGCATTCAATAATAGCATCCAAGTTTCATCAAGTAGGACTCAGTTTACAAATAGTATAACTTTTATACATGATAGGACATTAAGGGATACCTTATAACTTGTTCTTAATGACACTTCCCCAACTTGCAGGTCCCATATCAGCGTATAGCGCACCCCTATGCCTTTTCTCCATCCATTCTTTTGCAATCTTTGTTTTAGTCATTAAGATGTAAAGTTGAAAGGGACATCAAGAGTTGTTGGTTTTACCAGTTTTTAGGATATTTGTCATCTTTTATTAAGAGCTTACAATAGCTTTGTTACCTAGGAATAACTAGCAACAATTTATTACTCCCTCTACCCAATAGAATGAGTCTGGTTTTATTAAGGTACAGGGGATGACAGAGTTTGATTTGATCATCTTTCACATTATGTTATGTGTCATATCAGACAAATTATAATCCTTTTTTGGCAATATGCTTTTTTTTGGAATATAAAATGTTATTCTATCATTTGTTCTTGTCATCTATGTACATGTATATTTGCTAATAGGACACATACATAACAAAATATGGACAAAGCATCAAATTTTATTGCCAAACCACTCTGCATGCGATCTAAATAGGTATCGACTTGTTGGTAAAACAACACAACACTAGCTGGGGAGGGTATAATGTACACATACCTTACCCACCCAAGAAGGCACCCCTATCATGCTATCGTAATCTTTAACCTCCAAAGCCTTCTATCTAATGTCATGCTCTAAGGGAGGTACAGTTCTCCCATGTCCTGCATAGCATCTTCCAACTAGCCAATACTTCTTCAATCTACCTCTACGCTGTTGCACACCTTCTATGTCCAATCTCTCACATCTCAATCCTCCTTAATGGGACACCCACATCTCTCATTTTCACGTGTCCATACCATTTCAATTTCACATGTAATGAGTAATTGGTGGTACGTTTAAATCAAACAGGTTAAAGGTGTATAGCTCACTCCATTATATTTATGAAGGATTATTGGAAATATATTAATGAAAATATAGATTATATAATTACAAAATCCCATGACAGTATATTAGATTACTCCCTCTGTCACCTAAAACACTTTCTTGTTTGACTTTCCCAAAGTTTAAGAATAGTGTTAAAATTGAAAACTTTATGGCGCCGTGATAATAATGATTTCAAATTGGCTCAGTTGAACTGCACCATGAAATCTTAGTGGGATTGTGGATTTTAAGTGAACCTTATTGAGCATAGGTCAAGACTTTGGAAATATTCTATAAATCTGAATATAAATTTAGTTTTGAAAGTGCATATAAACATTTTATCTATATCTGACCCAAAACCCTAAATTGTACCCAAATAGATTAGTAATAATTATGTGTAGGTGTGCGTGCATATGCATAAAAATTAATAGATTAATTATAAATTAATAATGTATGAATTTACTGCATATATGATTCAACTTTTCTTTGTGTTTTGTTGTATTGATAGTTCGGTAATGCTACATGAAATACTATGTTTATAAAATGTCAGTTTCATTTGAAATTTTGGATAGATCCAAATGAACATAAAAACACCTGAAATGCTTTCAATTGAACCCTAGAAATTTGATTTAATATTTAGTCTAGATTTTATTTTAAAAAGAAACAATTTAAAATTTTGGATACCTCAAAGAAGACTGAAGACGTCAATCTCACTCAAACTAAAAATACACCTATCCGATTCGTACCCATCTATAAATTTGGTTATTAAGACTCCAATTGGTTTCCATTATATGGTCTCATGGATGAATCATCTAGTTGAGGGGTGGGTTTCCTGAAAATTAGAAATAGGGGCTCTTAAGTAAAGAAACTAGCCATTAATGGTCTGTCAACTATTTTAGTGAGATAATTTGTCGTTTTTGTTACTAGTCACTTAAGCAATGACTTTATTTGAAGAACTTTTAATTGTTGTCGACCACACTTGTTGATATTAGTTGTTGGATGCTAAAAGTTATATCATTGTAGTCATCTTAAAAGATATTAAATTTTTTTCATTATTGTCTCATTGAACTTGTATCGTTAGTGAACTATTCGGGCCTATTTAATTATAGAAATATTTCTATTTTGCATGTCTGGTTTGTAAAATTTTCATATTCATTTTCCATTGGACTGCTTACAATGTGTTCAAACTCTACTATAATTCATTGTTTAAAAATGCTGATACTTGATTCGTAATTATTTCTGCTGTACCATGATAAAAACATTACTGTCTAAAAAACTTGTTTTCCTCTTTGGGATGACTTCTGGTTTTCTTATGAGGAAAGATGTAGTCAATGGTATTGTTTCTACTATTTCTAAACAAATTACAACCCCAGAATTGTTATTTACTAAAAAGCATGCCAATTCAAAGTGAGAAAAATATATTTAGACAAGGGAATATTATTTTATTGGGTAGTTTAGTGTGTGGTAGAGGTAGAGTGTGGTGGGGGATAACTATTTGTGGCTGAAGGTAGACATATTGGGGCGGATGAAACTAAGAGATGATGGTGATAAAGAACACAGCTCCGTGCGGATTAAGACGGTGATCAGAGGTCCACTGATAGCGTGGGTATGTTTGATATATCGATAAGTGGGTGTGGGCATAGGTAGGTGGGTTTGGGGAGATTAGATATGCGTTAGTACCTGGTAGCGTAACTTGGATTGCGGCAAAGAGTAGTACTAAAATAACATTAATGAGGGTAAATGAGTATTAATAGTGGTCTAATGGAAGTGGGAGCCACACTGTATTGAAGTTTGTAAGTCACAGTGCATTTGCATATAGTGGGGAATAACTGAATAAGTTGGTGAAGGTAGGAGATGGTAGATTTGATTGGTTAAAGTATGTTCGTTGTGGTGATTGTGTTTGCGAGTGAAACTTTTTTTCTAGTGAGAACGCTCTGCATGTGCAGCCTAGAGAAGGGCCAACCCATCAAGGTTGTACACAAATTTACCCTAAATCTTAAGAGGTTTCTTTTGCAAGTCAAACCTATGGACTTGACTAAGGTCACATGGACATATGATAACCAAGGTACTCAAACCCAAGATTCTACGTAGGATTGATCTACGAAGTAAAAATTATCTTGTAAGATCGTGGTACAGATTCTAAGATCCTATATATATATATATATATATATATATATATATATATATATATATATATATATATATATATATATATATATATATAAAAGAGAAAGAATGTATATATAACAGTAATATTACACATATAAAGGAGATAGAGAGAGAGAGAGAGTATGTATATATAAGAGTAATATTACACATGTAAAGAAAAAAGAGTTTATGTTTTAGTTAAGGAAACCATAACACTCAAGAAAACGATATAAAAGCGTTGACATTTATATTATACCTGGGCTACTGGGCGGAATAAGAAAGAAAGAAAATACATAGGCAGAAGAAATTGTTGGGTTATTCGGTGAAGGCTTTAGAGCTTTGGGCTTTAAGCCCGGTCGGCTAAAGGGAAGAAATATGGGGGGCCGGTTTTTGTTATTAATTAAAGGGCCCATTAGTTGTTTCTTGTTTAGCAAGTTGTTAACCCTAGTTTATATCTTATAAATACCCAATCATGTAACTATAATTTGTGAGCACCTAATAAAAGATAAACCCTAGTTGCAACCCGTGGAGTAGGTTACTGACCGAACCACGTTCAATCTCGTGTTCTTATTTTCTGCTATTTGTGTGTGTGTGTGTGTGTGTTTGTTCGCTTCCGCTTGATCGCCTCTGATCTCTGATTCCTAACAAGTGGTATCGGAGCCTTGGTTCGGTTAAACACACGGTTACACAGGATCAATTGCAGGAAGAAGGCTGTTGAAGATCGTTTTTGCTGCTGTTTTGCTGCCGCGGTTAAGGGGATGGTTCGGATCTGATCAGGGGCTGGTTCGGATCTGATCAGAGGCTGGTTTGGATCTGGTCAGGGGCTGTTCAGTCGGTTTTGGGTGAACTCGGCGATTAGGGTTTCTGGTTTTGGACCTGGTACTCGTTGGTTCGGGTTCTTTGATTTAGGGTTTGTTTTCTTTTGGAGGTTGCTTGGTTTCGGGCCGTTATTCCTTGGTTTTTTCTCTGGTTTTTTTTCTCTCGTTCTGCAATGGCCGAGGACGGGAGGGTTCGAATCGAGAAGTTCAACAGTACTGATTTTGCATGGTGGAAAATGCAAATAGAGGCGTTGCTTGGTGAGTGCGATTTGGACATGGTATTGGAAGAGAAACCGGATGGAATGGATAAGGCTGCTGAAGCAATTTGGGACTCAAAGGACCAAAAGGCAAGAGGTAAAATTACACTAGCTTTGACGAGGAGTGTGGCGTTTAATATCATGAAGGAAACAACTGCTCGTGGAGTCGTGGTATGTTAACAGCTCTGTCAAATATGTATGAGAAGCCGTCGGCTGGTAATTGAGTCTTCTTGATGAGGGAATTGTTCATGATGAGAATGAACGAGGGCAGCCCAGTTGCTGATCACATTAATGAGGTCAATTCGATCTTGTCGAGGTTATCATCAGTAGGCATGAAGTTCGATGATGACACTCGGGCTGTGATTCTGTTATCTTCATTGCCTGATAGTTTGTCGGGATTTGTGACAACGGTTACTGAAACTGCTGGAACAGGAAACTTGAAGTTTGACCGGATACGGGATAGTGTTTTGGGTGAAGACATTCGCCGGAGGAACGCTAGTGGAGGATCTACTTCTGGGTTACTCAGTGTTAGCAGGGGAAGAGGTAATAACAGAAACAGTGGGAGTCGTGGGAAGAGCTCGTCTAAGGCTGGAAAGAATGTGGTGTGCTGGGTCTGCAAAGAAGTTGGGCATGTCAAGAGTCAATGCCCAAACAAGAAAAACGAAATTAGCGCAGTTGTTGGGAATGCATCTGATGATGATAGTGATGCATTGATACTCAGCATGGGAAGCTATGTTGACTCTTGGGTCATGGATTTTGGTGCTTCGTTTCACGCCATGCATAGCGGTGAGGCGATGGTGAATCTCAAAAAGGGAGCCTTTGGAAGGTAAAGTTGGGTAACGGGAAAATCCTTAAAGTGACAGGCATGGGAGATATTGATCTAAAAACTTCATTTGGAACTACTTGGAGCTTACAAAATGTCAGGGTGATTCCAAGACTGAAGACAAAGTTGATCTCAGTCGGACAATTGGATGAGCAGGGACTAGACGTCAAGTTTGGTGGTGGAAAATGGAAGGTGATCAAAGGAAATTTGGTTATTGCTCGAGGCTTGAAAAGAGGATCGTTATACATGGTACCGGTGACGTCTGAGGGAGTGACCAACCCGGCAAAGACAGTTAACAAAGTCGGGCTCACTGAATCGGGCAAAGCTAAAAAGGTTCATTTTGCAAACGTGAATCTTGGAGTTTTGGGGATGACAGTTGAGTGTGTTAGGAGGTCTGAATCAGGTCAGGGGTTTCGTGACAGTGGGAGCATGGGACGTGTTCCGAGTACAGTTCTGAAACGTCGTTGGGTTTTGAGGACCAAGAATCCGAACGTTAAAATCTCTCTTGGGAGTAGTTTGCTGGATTTGGAGAGTGGTAATGGTCCTCGGTGTATCTCTGGATCCGGTGGATTGTGCAAGCCGGTTGAGACAGAGGCTGTGGCGGTTACAGTCACGACTGGGTTGGAGCTCGGTGGAGCTTCAACTGTCCTTTCAGGTTATTAATGAAGGGGGTGGTTGCAACTTGGGGATATAACTGGAGTCTTAGCTTGTTCTTGGGAACTGGAGGCTTGGAGGACTTGACAGTGAAGATTACTGAGTTACTCATGATGGGTTTACTTGGATGGCATTTGTGTCTATGCGAAATCCTTCAAGTGGGAGATTGTTGGGTTATTCGGTGAAGGCTTTAGAGCTTTGGGCTTTAAGCCCGGTCGGCTAAAGGGAAAAAATATGGGGGGCCGGTTTTAGTTATTAATTAAAGGGCCCATTAGTTGTTTCTTGTTTAGCAAGTTGTTAACCCTAGTTTATATCTTATAAATACCCAATCATGTAACTATAATCTGTGAGCACCTAATAAAAGATAAACCCTAGTTGCAACCCGTGGAGTAGGTTACTGACCGAACCACGTTCAATCTCGTGTTCTTATTTTCTGCTATTTTTGTGTGTGTGTGTGTGTCTGTTCGCTTCCGCTTGATCGCCTCTGATCTCTGATTCCTAACAGAAATTTGAGGGTAGAAGCTGAAGGGTTTGAAGTATAAGAGATTAAGTAGGCCAGAAACAAGTTGACAACCAGGCACGCGAAGAGTCAATAGAACAAAGAGTCTTTTTTGAAGAGTCGCATGGATTTCCCTCAAATTTGAAGTGTCGTGTAGACTGGTGCTTGGACTTGTCAACTTGGACAAGTCTGAGGTATATCCGATATTTCTTCGTGATTCCGATTGAAAACCCTAGCTCGATCCTCACTATCGTAGAATTGAATGGTCCAGATTGCGAGTTCAACTACCTTGATGATAACAACTCACCTACCCCCTTTGATTGTCCCTTGCCAGTGAAGCTTAAAGAATCATTTTGACTATGTCTTAGCTTCAGGAGTTCAGGTAAAGAATGTACGTTAGCAAGGTTGTGTACATCGTGATTACAGACCCTGGTTTTATTTTGGGTTTGTTGCTGTTGTTGCTAAACCGCCCTCTTGAAGTTTTTAATATATATACTCTCTCCATCCCACTATTTTTGGCATAGTTATTAAAGGCGCTCGCCTCTCTTGCCTATGGCGCCTCAGTCGACCAGGCGAGCTCTCAGCGCCTCAAGGAAGCCAGGCGAGGCGAGATCCCTAAGGCGCGCCTAAGGCGGTCGCCTTTCTCGCCTCAATTCCTGCCTCAGGCGTTCGCCTAGCTCGCCTTTCTCGCCTCAATCACTGCCTTAAGGCTTTAGGGTATACAATGCATAATATTTATTCCTATATATTACTCCATAATATATATATATATATATACACACACACACACACACACACACACACACACATATATACACATATATACATATACATATACATATACATACACATACATACATACATATATAGTATCAATATTATGTGTTTATACATACATACATATATGTGTGTGTGTGCGTGTGTATATGTATATGTATGTATGTATGCATGCATGCATGTTCGCCATTTGACCGCCCGCCTCTCGCCACGCCTCTCGCCTTAAAAAAGGTCCTCTCGCCCGCCCCTCGCCACTCGCCATTAATAACTATGATTTTTGGGACAGGAAGGAGTGACACATAAATAAACAAAACTAAGACTGGCTGATTTTGATGTTATAAGGTAAGAGTGATTTTGAACCACACAAATATGACCAAATATGGCATGAGACAAAATAGTGGGACAAACAGAAAAGGTTAAAAAGGACAAAAATAGTGGGAAGAAGGGAGTAACATTTTGTGTTTTTTCCCCACAGTTTTTAAAATTAATTGGGAGATAGGGTTGTATTCAACTTTTACATTACTTTGAGCTGCTGCATTCTGCTTCCATGTACCACAAATTTTACAGTTGTCAGCCGTCATATCACAGTGACATAGAGTAGATTGTCCAATGTCCACCCCTTGGGGAACAACTTCAGTTAGCATCAATATACCTAGCTACTTTGCAGCAATGCAGCCTTGGGATCAATAAAATACTTCAACTTCCCCTTTACCTTGACCTAAAGTTGTTCGATTAAATTATTTCACAATCACCTCTTTGATGAGTTTCGTTCTATTCCACTAGCTTAGGTGGTATACAAATTCATTTGTATTCGTTCTACATGAAATGGGTTCAGTTTCTGAGGAAACATTCCATGTATATTTTCAGTGGATGTTGCAAACAACATATTCATATGTAATAGTGTAGTTGTCTTTTGGGCTATAGACACTGATTGCTGAATTCCTTTTTTTCAAATTACATCAGGAAGCAATTGCTGGAAAATGCAATGTTGTTTGTATATCCGAGGACACCAGAAACTGTCAACCTTCTGAGGAAGAACTTAAGGAGGCTGATTATGTATTCTACAGGGTGTTTGATGTTGCAAGATTTACCTTAGATGACATAGGCGACACAGTTGGTGGTCTGGAAGGTAAGTGCCTTTGCTATTTTGAGTCATCATTCAGTCATTATTGCTAGCCAATAACCTAAAAAAACTGAGTTCTAATGTAATGCCGAGTTAGTTAGGGTTGTCTCTTTATCATTGAGTTCAATATTGCTTTTAATATAGTTCAATTATTTGATGCAGTGGTATAAGCTAGACAACACGATCTAATTTTCAACAATAATAGTTCCGATAGATTATATTCTTATGTAGTGTTTTGCATTGTTGGTACAGTTAGGTTTGTGTTTAACAGAAATGAAAGTGAAAAGGCCAGTCAGATTGTAAAACTTTCTTCTGAACAGAATAAAGATACACATGCTAGGGTGCAGCTTAATATGCAGAAGACAGGTAATGGATTGAAAATTGAAATGGGTGATCCCAATTCAAGATGTGTAGCCTTGAAGAAAAATGAACTTGATTTAATGCATGGAGATGGAAATGTTATCTTGAAAGAGCTAGATTCAACAACAGAAATAAAGCCTACTGCTGTGGAGCAAATAGACAGCATAGCGGTGAATGAAGTTATCCTGGAAGAGGATATCTCTGCAGACAAGACAGCTTGCAATGAACACAAGAACATGGATGGTGATACTTCTACTAAGCCACATATGATTGTGGTGGGTGTTGATGAAAGCACAAACAATATGAAATGCTTTGGTGCTTCAGATAGTTGGGCTTCAAGTCGAGTAAAACATGCTTCTGTCATGCCCTTGGAGTACAAGGACTCGAGCTGTAATAAGAGGTCAAGCCTGAATGACACAAAACCTCAAGTTAGAGGTGTCACTACCTCTCCACTTAAGGAAAAAACTGATAAAGAGAAGGATCACTGTGAGCTGGTCAAGGATGTAAAATCTATAAAGGATTCTATTCCAGATTTAGAGAGGCCATGGAAGAAGGCCAAGATAGATTTCTCTGCTATATCTGAAGATAAGAACAAAAGTAATGTTCATAAACCAGATGCTAGGTCTGGAGAGAATGAGGACAAAGTTATACCAAAAGCTGTGGATTCTTGTCAAGAAAAGATTTCTAAACCTTCTAAAATTTGTGCTGGATTGGACAATAATTCTAACAAGGAAATTCTTAGCCCAAATGGCAGCAAATGTCTGGTCAAACCTGCCCCCCCTACAGAAGTAAACACTAAGAATAGAAATGACGAAGTCCAACATTCTTGTGGGTTGGGCAATGATGACAAGCCTGGAAAATATTCCAATGTTGGAGAAGATAGAACTTCAAAGAAGGCAAAGATTGATGTTTTTGATAAAAAATCTATTGATGGGAAATTTAATTCTCAAAGGCCTAGTATCAAGCACATAGAGGATGAGGGAAATGTTTTGTTAAAGGGCACTAACTCCTTTAAAGAGAGGGCTATACTTCCTAAACCCATCCATGGATTCGATGAGGGCCTTACAAAAGCTAGATCTTCTATGAAACCAAACAAGCTCTCTATTAACAACATCTCGTCATTGGGTGGCACTTCTACAAATGTAATGGAAGAGTTGCATGACAAGGCCATTGAAGTGACTCCAAGACATGTCGTAAGTAGTGCTCCATGCATCATTTTCTTGTGAAAGTTTAATTTACTTTATATCAAAGTAAGGATTCAAGAGTTCTATACGGGGGGCCGGGGGCGCAAATTGATAAACATATATATGTTGAGGAACTTGAGTTCAACATTAATGGGGGTCAATACTATACATATAAATTATGGATAAATGGAATAATGAATGTAATGGAGCCATGAAGGTGCGCCATGCTATAATGTTGATAACATGTCACACATGGATTGTTACATTATAATGGACTCCACATTAGCCCCTCAACTATCATTACATTATCACATATACAACTCTTTTAACTAAATTCAATTTGTTAGTATTGTCGTAATTGTTCTATTCCAAATATAGTTATTGCTGAGGGTATGAAACTAAATCCATTAGGGAAAAAGCTCTATTTGACACTCACTTAAAGTATATCCTTGAAGTGTCTCCTTGAAATGTCGTGTAATAGCTGCATGACCCCTTGAATTACTTATATGTTTTAAGTTATCTTCATGGTTATTTCTTACCCCCAATTCTTCACATATGAAATATTTGATTCCACCATTGTCTCCTAATCCCATGCAACCTTTGACCATATTTGGCTAGCTTGCCACTGTTTGCTCTAAATCGTCGTTCAAAGTTGCACCTTGGTTCAGATAAAGGAAAATATGTCATTAACTTTTTCAAAACATGCTTATGTCTTCATTTAGTATATATGTATATCTCTATTAGCATGACTAGGCTTATGGTAGTGGGCGAGGGCGGGGGAAAGGGTAGACTTAGAAAGGATTAGAAGGAGGTGATTAGACATAATCAAAGACTTTTTTCCCTTATCAACGATATCACTTTAGATTGCAACTTTTGGATATTTAGGACTAGAGTAGTTGGGTAGTTGTTTGGACCTTGGTGGTAGTTTTTGCTCTTGTTGTGTGTTTTCTAAGTGTTAGGTCTTATTGCTTGCAACGATTATAGTGCATTGTGTCTCCTTGCACTTTTAGTACTCTTAGTTTGTTCTTTGCTTTCTATCGTGCTATGTGCTTTATGTGTTCCTGGAGACAACCTCTCTACTTTCTAGAGATGGTGGTTGAAGTTTTTGTCTAAATCTCATTACTCCTTGATGAAAGTTAAACATATAATCATATACAAAGTTGACAATAACTACCAATTTTTAACTTCTAAAACACCTAAACTTTTCCATCGTTAAAGTATTCATTGAAAGAGCCTTTTCACACCTTAGAGGTAGATATTATGTTTGTGTACATTATATTGTCCTTACACCCTACTTTGATTGAGACTTAGGCCATGCTCTCCCCAACTTATTTTTTTATTTATTACTTATTCTTATTGGAATCAGACCAGATCAGACCAGATCAGACCAGATCAGAATTAGCTTAAATATAACTACATTTAGGTCAGACCAGATCAGATTAGATCAGAACCAATCAGATCAAGTGAAGAGATCGAACATGACCTTATTGGGTTTGGTTTTTTATGGGTGTTGACTTCAAATTGCATGTTATGTTTGGGAGTGTACTTGCAATTTTCTACTAAAAGAGCTCCACTTTAATCTTCCGTCATCTTGTCCCCCATAAGGATTACTAGGTCACTCAGACTTGTATAACTTTATTTATAATCACATCTCGCTTAATATGACCATACATCCATCTGAGCATTTAACTCTCCAACACTCTATCTCAAAAAACAATGGTCTAACCACCACTTTAAAGTGCATGTCTCTCAGTTTGGTGAATCTGAAAATAGCTAAAGTAAATATGTTTTATGTTTCTCTCACCGGCGACACTCTCTCTTGTCGGTGGAGTTTCTCTCTTTCTCAATGGTTTTCTTGCTCTTTCTCTCTCACTCTCGCCAGATCTCTTTTTCTCTCGCCATTTCTCCATCAGCTTCTCTTGCCGGTTGACTTCTTGGTTTTGGTGGCAGTGTAGGTCGGCGGCGAGCTTTCTTTGCCGGTTGACTTCTTAGTTTTGATGGCAGTGTAAGTCGGCGGCAGGCAACGACGGACAGAGACTCCTAAGCAAGTTTTCAGATTCCCACCACCTTCTTCCTTGCACCCAGCCATGGTAGTCAAACTCGCGATCCGGATCGTATGATTGTATGATTCCGGAGATCGCCGGGGGGTTTCCGATCCAACTCGCCCTCAAAATCGCAAAAATCCTTCAAGTCGGAAGAATCACCAATCTGGATCGTGCAATCGCACAACCGCAGGAAATCGTTAATCGCAAAAAAAAGAATCGGGAATTTTAAAAGTCTATTTTGTTGCTTCGATTTTGTCGCTTTGATTATTTCGTGACTTTTACAGAGACAGACGCTATTTTTTATTATTATAAATAGGCTTCTTCTCCCATCACAGAGACACGACGCTTCAATATCCTAAAACTTTTTCAGGATTATAATTTTAGCATTTATAATTATGTTTTAGATGTTTAAGAATAAAGTTTCAAGTCATTAGTGATATCCAACTTGAACTTGTGTTATGTTTTATTAAAATTTAATTTAGATATATATATGTATGTATGTATGTATGAATGAATGAATGAATGAATGAATGTATGTATGTATGTATGTATGTATGAATGTATTTATGTATGTATGTATGTGTGTATGTGTGTATGTGTGTATGTGTGTATGTGTGTATGTGGGTATGTGTGTATGTGTTAGGGGTGAACCGGGGGGTCTTATCAAGTTGATGTTTTTAAGGCTTGGAAATGGGAAGAAAATGGAGGTGTATAAGTTGGGAATGGGCTGGACGAAATATGGAGATGGTGAGGAGTTCTTTTTGTTTTTTTTTGATAATTTGAAGAAGAGTGGAATATCAAGAGAGAAGGATGGGTTTAGGAAGAATGGGATAAATTCCAAATCAGGGATAAGAGATAAACACACTCTTATCTTAATTTGGAGCCAAATTAATACTATAGGATAAATTCACCTCTAGATTAACTTGGGGTTGAACTCTAGTATTTCATCAAGATATTACACACTCAATCAAATAACTAGAACCTAAAACTCACACTCAAGAGAACCACTCTTAAGATATAGAATTAGGAATTTGGCTAAAATAGCATCACACTATTTTAAGAGAATACTCAAAAGAGTAAACAAAGTTTTCATTTAATTCATATGCTGGTTTACAAGGCCTATGGCTGAAATTATATATACATAATAAGGGAGAAAGAATACAATCAAGGGCTTCTTAATCCTTTCCAAAATCAGCATCCAAATGAGTTAAATTCATGACTAAGATGATGGATTCCTTTGGCTGGTTTTGTGATGATTATCCGGCCACTAATGAGAGATATGTTGAGATGTTTCTTGGCCTGTTTTGAAGGAGGAAATTCGGCCATGTGTGAAGAAAACAACAGGGAATGCTAAGTGGCTGTGATGGAAATGTCCCTTGGCTTGTTGTGTGTGATGGATTCGGCCTTTAGTATCTAAGGTCAAGGGTGGGGAAT